AGGTTTGTTGATACCAAATATGGAAGCATGACTTTAGGAAAATTCGTACTCAGCTAGTAGCAACTGCAGAAATTTCTTGAATGGAAGCAAAGCTGATAGCGCAAATGATGCCAGTTCTTCAGGTCAGAATTGCTTTTATCAGTGTGTACACAAATAGCTGCGGGTATGTCTTATCTGGAATCGAGAAATTTTGTGCATGGTAATCTCTCGGCCAGCAGCTGTCTGGTTGCTGGCGACGGCACAATCAAACTTACTAATTTCAACATCGCGTCTGAACTTGATCTCAACGACGAAAGTGACGCTACGCTTGGACGAATCAGGTGGATGTCCTGGGAGGCGGCTATTGAAGTTAGCAAATTTTTCGACTCATTTCTTGAAAGCTCGGGTAGGGAAAAGCTTCTGTTTGTTTATGTTCAGAAATCATGGGCATACAGGACTACTGACCTAAACATAGGCTTCAGTTATATATATATATTAATGAAACGAAGAATTCTTTCCATCATTAGAGAAGCCGTCCATTAAAGGTTGAAACATAAGCAAGCTTTTTATGAATTTTCAGGAAGCACTCAAGACTGGAGACTTTCGGAGACGCCAGTGCAACATTCACCTTTAAACCTTAGGCTACTGTATGCTTGTACGGCAGTGTTAACATGCAAAATGATGGGTTTTGTAGAAAAGATATTTTGATAACGAGCATCCAAACTCTTTAACAGATGATTAGCAGGAACTGATCCTGGCCAGCATAAACAGTCATTTGTTAGTATTAATACGATAATGCTGTGTAAAGAAGAGAGGGGAAAGGAATCTGTCATACGAAGTGATACTTATGCTACTGGGGACTAAAAAAACACAAAATATTATTTTGCATCACTATAAAGAAGTTCGGAAATTCATCTCATGTGTGCAATACAGGCAACAATAAACAAACTGTTAAGAAAGGATGCTCTGAGCCTTTCCCATCCAAAACGACTGAGCGCCGGAATGCAACAAATATAAATTGCAAATTACAGAAGAGGATGACAACGAAAGGAGACGTGTGGTCATTCGGTGTCACAATGTGGGAAATACTGAACGGGTGTGGCCAACAGCCGTACAGAATGCTCACTGATAGCGATGTATATAAAAATTTATTGTTCATACAACGACACGGAACGCTTAAGGTAACAAATATACGCAATCGCAGTTTGAGGAATCAAAAGCATCACTGCATTTCATTTACAATGCTTCACGTTCTCTGTCTTGCTTTGCCTGTCACTGCCGCTAGGATGCTTACAGTTCTTGTGTTAGGATTCTTGAAAAAGCGAGCTGAAGGCGACTTGTTGCCTAATAATTCTAACATAGGCAAGATTCGGTTTCGAACTGATGTTATTTTCGCCCTAAAGAGGACTGCAGTGGCGGACGCACACCGCACCAGTGACGTTTTTACTGACGAAGAACTAGTGAATCCCTGTTTTCTTGAAAGTAAGAGACACGAAAGCGTCAGAATACGTCAAATTAGATGTGAAAATAATTGGGCAGAGCTGGTTTTAAAGCAAAATCTGGCAAAAGAGGTAATAAAATTAGCAAAACCACATCGGATCGTATGCAACAAAGGGAAAGAAAATGTTCGAAATCGTTGAGATGTTAAGTGACTCTGTCGCTTTTCACCCGTGTGAAGAAACTTGAAAACTGGAAGCTGGATCCTACAAATATGAATGCAAGCGAGAGCTTTTACATTACACTGCCAAATTTTCCACTGTGAAACTTATTTTTAAAAAAATTCATTTGCAGTTTTGCCTGGAAAGGCCCGAATTTTCGTCAGCAAATTTCTACGAGGAATTCATTGTGCAGTGCTGGGCTCGCGATCCCGAACAGCGTCCCTCATTTCACTCGCTGCATCGCCGCCTACAAAATGTTACTTGTGTACAAATGAGCGAAGGCTGTTAGCCCGAATCCGGAAGATCTCTCTCCTGACCGTTCTCATTCGCCACTGCAATTTCATACATATCATTGTTATTGTGTCTTTTATTACAGCTATAACTCTAAGGATTAAAACCTTTGTTTCCAGAATCTTTTTTTACAGCAAAGCCAATATGATTGTTTAACATGGTGAAAATTCCAAATTATTGCCCTGGAAATTAAACATCTCTTGGTGTAACTGCGAT